AACGTTACAAGCAATGAACATTCCCACCATCATAGATCTTCATGTCAAGAACATGATAACAAGATAGCACAGACATGTGTGTGTCAGTGATGGTATTACCAGTGATAACAACTTCCAAACACTGGATGTTTGTATGATACAAACGTGAGGAGTCCCCTGCCCTCACCCCTCCACAAAGATCTGCATATTTGATTTACCCTATGGCATGGAAAATCTAGTCTTCCAAACACTAGGTGTTTATATTATACAAAAGTGATATGAACCCCTCCCCAGTCTGTACAATTCATTTATCCATCAGTATTACAGAAAACAGTCTACAATGTTGAAAATACAAAAATCGCAACAAAATGCAATTGTAGAGAAAAGTGACGACAAAAACAAAATGTAAGAAAAAAATTAAATCATAACATGAAGCAACAATAGTAAAGATAGGATACCTTCATGTCTCCAAAAACGATCTAAAAATCCAAATATTTTCATTTTCAAGATCTTCCTAGTATGTCTCACCCAAGCTTTGTCTTAACACCTGTCTAACAATAGCTTTAGTCTGGAATTATGAATGTTTTACATTCAGATCTATAAGGCCAAACATACATCACAGATATGTTAAACGCGTAATATTTAGTTGACAGATAAGGGTTTGGTAACCATGGAAGAAGCTATCATCAAGGATTAGACACCATAGTGATGTCTGACATAGATGTCTTGAGGTAGACATACATCCTACAGTCATGACATTGAGCATTATGGAAGAGCCTCTCTCTCTTCTTACCAAGCTCACATCTCTTGACCATCAAATTTCAGGCTTGAAATTTGTCTTCCTGCTTTTCATATTAAAGGATAAATTCCATTGCATCAAAATGCAATAACTTGCAGCTGACCAAAATATGATTTAGTGGCATAATTTTATGTTAATGTTAACAGGAGAATGTTGAATATGTCAGAACAACATAGCAATGGGAATATTTATATGTATACTTTGAGAACCAGACATCTGAATGAATGATCTTTTTCCTATTTAGAAACTAAGTTTACAAAGATTGATCAATAATCATTTTATACAAGCAAATGTACTTGATTTTTTTTCTTCAATTCAATTTATTATTTCATTAAAAAAATCCAAAAAAAAATCCAAAAAAAAAAAAATCACAAATATATATATACATTGATAAGTGTACTGGATCATTAGCACCCTATAAATCAGATGGCTTGAGAAAAGTGGGTGGACCCATAACATAAATGAAAAATGTGGAAAATACAAAACATTAAAATTCACAATATAACAGAATGCAAGACGTAAACAAGACATTACAAACTAAAACACAATTATTATACAGAACTACATAATTGAATGCATCAGGGAATTCATTTATTTGAAGGGAGTGTCATTTTTAAGTGGTTCAAATAACATTTGTCCAAACCAAAACAGAAATGCATAAATGCGCCAGAGCTTAGTGTGGTTGCCCTATATTGAGTGACAGTTGAGCTCACACTGTAGAAATAAGAAGAGCAGTTATACAAGATTACAGACTATAACATAATATCCTTCTTTCAGCAACTAATAGACTAGAGGCTAGATAGTTTTGGATCTATTAACCATGAAAACATCACTCATCTGGGATTAGATGCCATTGAGAGGAAGATACCTGAGTGTCTAACAACAAGATACCTAATCCTTAAAACGTCTGCTTGTCTCACAATAGATCCAAATCATGAATCTGTAACGACATGACCTTATGAAGATACCAAAACAATCTCAAGTACCATGTCTACCATCTTTCTTGTCAAACTTTGGAATCTATAAGCTTTGGTTTAACTTTCTATTTTTAGTCTAAGGATTAATATTTGATGTTAACTTTTCAAGGGCAAGGCTTATGTCTTAGGTAATGGAAAGGACAGGTTTAACTACCTTATACAAGGTATCAATAAAGCTGGTAAGAATTCTAATTCTCGTTGCAATATGCTTCATATTTGCATCTACTGCTATCAATTGTGGTTTTTATTACTGGCACAGTTGAAAGAAAAATGATTTTGATAATATTGATATATTCATTTTAATGCACATTGTTATTATTTCAAATGCTATTCATCACCCTTATCAAAATGACCATAATAACTTTTAATTGTTAAGATCATAATAACTACGAATTTGAGATAACATTCACCAGACAAAAAATAACAACACTAATGATTTGTTTTAAAGACGAAATGTCATAAGACTGTATACACCAGTGAAATTGGGCAGAGATTGCCAGGAAGGGTATTATCCTGTACTCATTGTTGAACCCATGATATAAGAGAGGACATGAATGTTCTCTCACCTGTAAGCTCATGTTACTGCAGCAACCGAAGAGACATGATGACACATGAGGAAACTCAACAATGCTCTTTTTATACAAGCGGATGATGACATTGCATCTTAATCAAGGACTGTTAAAGCCTAACATTGAATTTTAAACAGGTATCATCCTTCCGCTCCAGCAGACAAAAGATAGGTCTCCTTTGTGACAAAATAGTTAGAATACAAAGTTAATTAATCTGAAAAATGCCTATTTTGAAGAATATGGAAAAGTTCAGAGCAGGACATTTTTAAACCTAACTCAACTATTGAATTCTCTCCTTCCAGTAAGCTTAATACAGATTTAACTGGTTTCTGAAGACAATGGTTAGCTTAAATACACTAGGAAATCCATTTTTTACAATTATAAACCTTGATTTCCCATGTTTGATCATACTGTATTACTGTTTCTCTATCATCCCATAAATATTTCAATTTTCTAAATTCATTCTATACAGAGAGCGAAAAGTGTTCTTTTAGTAACTCTTTGAATCTATCTATCCACAAATATGTTGCCTTAATCTGCTCTTCGTGGAAAGTCTATATTAAGCTAAAATAAAACCAATATATAAATTGCTATTGTATGATTTCAAAGTAAAACACAAAATTTCAAATTTTGGGGTTGAGATTGATCATGACATCAACTGTTATTTTGGGTACTAGATCAGTTGGAGGCCAATATATTTTATCACCTAATGTCTGCCCAGGTAATTCATGTTATTAACTTTTGGCTTCAATTGCCCTGGTTAATGGCAATAGTTTTGAATGGGGTCCAAGAATTTACTTTGTGAGCCTGCTGACAGTAAAGGTTTTTCATTGACAAAAACAAGGACCATCTCTGAGAAGTTATTTTAATTGTGGAATGGCAGTGTCACAGATTTTGCAACTCTATAATACGTATCACTGAAACATAAAATTTGGAAAAATTAACACCAATTTTCACAAAAAGATAAAGGTAAACAGAAAAAAGAAAAAAATAGAATCAAAAGTCACCTGGGACTACATTTTCAAAGCAAAGGAATAGTTAAGTCGATCTTTATTACTTAAAATTTTGAGCAAGTATTGGCAATTCTTACTAAATAAGTTGGATAGGTTTATTTCAAGTCACACAAAATATTTAACGCAAGGTATAAACAAATTTCTTTCAAAAATTGAGAAAGACAACTGCTGGCAGTTTTAAGGGTTACTGATCCTTCCTTATCACTTAAACCTGTGTATTTGACAGGTGTATGCAAATGCAAAATGAGAGTCCATAATTGATAATGAGAATAAAATTATCTTGCAGTTACACTGGGAAATAGAACATTATCAGTCCTGTTTATGTTAGATTATCATTTATCTCTTTCTCTTTCTTTACATTAACAATCCCATTTTGTTCTCTCAAACATCTTAGAATAGATGACACAACCAAAAAAGTTGATTTACACACATTTTCAAAGTTGTACCTTTAAGATATCTACTACGTACCCAGGCAGAGGAAGCAAGGTACAGAGCCGCAGGATTACGAGAGTGTGAGGGTAATGGAAAAGGAGGTCCCTAAATAGAACCACTTCCTAACACATCATTTGTTGGTTAGCAGTTCTTTCAAACATCCCCGCAGATGTGATGAAAACATTCTTGTTGAAACCAAGGTGAAATATATGCACCTTGAAGACAGAACTTTGTTGTCCACCATCATCCTTCTTTTGCAATGGTGGAAGATTGCATGGTTTTGAAGTTTTGCCGCAACAATATGGATAGCTTTATCTAATCTCCACTGACCTAGGCTATAAGGGATAAATTTTCTTCATATTTTGTATTCCCTGAGGAGAAAGGGGCTTTAATCTAGCCGACAAAATAACATCAATTCATAAGTAAATCATGGTCAATCCAATCAAGTACAATTGTGTAGATTCTCTCCGTGTCTGAGCAGATCTTGTATAAGGAATACAATGTATTTTCAAAAAGAAGATTGAACACAATATTGCTAGATAAAAAGAGAATGGGACTTACGTTAAGTAACAAAACTGATATATTGGACAGATGTGTTATCAACAGATTTTTTAAACATTCTCCCCATCTCAGTTTACATCTTGATTCTCTTTTAGTCTTTGACCCTCCCCCCCCCCCCTCCCCCTACTCCGCCCTCTTCTCTCTCTTTCTCTCTCTCTCTCTCTCTCTCCCCAACTTCTTTTTCTTTCAGTCTCTGTGGCTTCATACAATGTATTTCTATTTTTCAAGAAACTTTGTATCTTGCAGGATCTACACCACACTGTTCTCTTGATAACCTTTCCTCCCATGTAATATATTCCATAACAGCTGCTTTGTCATTTGCAAAATGTAAAATCTTGATATCACTTCAACTTTGCAAAGACTTCCAATATCTGGGAATCCATAAATGCTGGGCCTGAAAATATTCAGTGTCAATCCTACTGGAAATACATATGAATACAAAACCAGGAACTGCGCGTGAATGAAATGTTCACAAATTTCACGAGTGGGTCAGATTCGCTAAAATTCCATGCCACGTTACATTTTAATCACAATTGACACATCACAAAATGTTGAAATTCAAGAAAGAGAACAAATTTTTGGTTTACAGTTCTTAAAAATGAAGTAAACTTGATTCATCGATATGACTATCTCAGAAATAAAAAGATAGAAAGATGTAATTCTAACTCACCACTAAGAAGAGAGGTTCTTCTAAAGGTCCAAGGAATGTGATGACTTCTGCTTTTTCTTGGGGTGCTCCAACCTTGCGATCATAGTCCATGGTGGTACCGGCTGACTTGAAAGAGTGAGGAAGATCTATGCTGAAATCTCCATTCAGGTAGTACTCACCATGGACATTCCTTAGAGCTGAAAGAATATCAAAAAGAAATATAAGTAAACATTACGATCAAGAGGGTTCCACCTTGTCCATATAACCAACAAAGAATAACAATAATACCAAAATCATATAATTGTGTAAATGGTTCTTTCTTTCTCTTAGGTTGTTGCTTGTTTCTGTGTTTTTTTCAGTCACAAAGCAAGCGAAAGCTAGCTCACATGTCAGATGATTTCACTGATTGTTTAACAAACCTACACTCTGTTACTGTGTCCCGACACCTGGCCATTATAAATGAGACGGCCATCACAGCCATCAGGCAATGGAAAAACTTAATTCAAGTAAATTAGGAACGTTACACTAATCTTGATCTAAGGAGACACGAACGAATGAGCGAGTTACTGTTGAACTAATCTCTTTAGTGATTCAAACAACATTTAACATGTTTGGATCCTACGTAAGAATCCTTGCTCTATTATATGTCACACCTCGTTAGGATATCTATCTCACTACTTTTTCTAATTTCTTCTTTCCTTTAGGCCAATTACTGTGATTCAATGTAAATGCATACAATTAAGCTGTAATCATCATCCAGATATAAGGTATTAACCTTGATTTGCAGATTGTAATAATTTTCTTTTTCGCATTTATAACTTCAGGACCATACATAATCCACTAAACGTTCATACCTTGCATTTTGGGCAAATATTTGGACATGTGCTTTTACAATTACCATGGATACAACCCTGTTTGAATGAAAAATACAACCTAATTCTGCAGACATATGCCTAAATATTCAATCTAATTTACAAGCAACTAGTTTAGTAGAACAAATGCTATACAGATGTTTATTACTTTCTTGTTTGTTTTCCGCTAACCAACATGTGCAAAATTTGATACATCCAGATGGTACAAGGAATGATTTCCAAACTTGAAATTTCTTCTGTCAACAAGTAAACCATAGTGCCTTGTTTATCTTTGTAAATTGAATGCATTGTTTGTATTTTCGACAAAAAAACAAGTATATAAAGAATCTCTGTACATCATGTACCTGCAAATATAAATCCAAGAAAGTATCCACTGCTTTACTTTAAATTAGTTAAATTTTTACTAAAAGTAAGTTAAATTAGTTAAATGTGTTTCATCATTTACTAAGATCTATTATTGATTGACAATTTCCATTGAACCCAAAATGACAATAAGAACCACAATTAATACTACAGCTATTATAACCAACAAGGATATTTCATTCATAACTTGAATCTAACTTCCTGAGTTATCACAAGAGTAGATATCCTTCCAAAAAAATTTGGAAAATACTAAATTTCAAACTTTGTATGCATGACATTATAGGACTACATTTAAATTTTTGTACTGAAATTAAGCAATGTGTCATATTATGGATGGGGCAATTTATACCATTAACATGAAATTTGTCTACACTTTGGGTAGTGTAAAAAAAAATGTGTTCAAACTTATATCACAATCTTATGGATTGATATCTAGCCCAGAATGGCATTAATTCTGTTTCAAGGTATACTATATGTGTATAAACGCATGTCTTGCTGTCAGCTGACAAGCTGTTATAAAGCCTTTTAAGAGATAGAGCTTCTCAAAGGCATTTTAAACTTCTTTTTCTTAAAAAGCAGTCACAAGCCAAGAGTGCATTTGACTCACACAAGAAATTTCTTGCCTTAATCTGATAAAGTTTACTTGGAGCCTTTCACATCCTGATAATATTAGAGTACAGCTCATGGAAATATGACATCTATCAAACAGAGCAGTAATCAATTCAAAGATCTTCATAGAGTTTGCTTTCCTCTCCTAATGATTTCCAACTGATGTATATCAAACAGTGCAGTTATATAGCAGACATTGAGCAGACATTCAATTAGTCAATCAAAATTGTCCCCGAGTGGCAAGAATTCTATTCACAAAAATATACTTGCAACTACAACATATGCAATCCATTGACATGAGCTAATTATATATAAAAACTGGTCAAGAAGGAATTACTTGGGCATTTATCCCATGTGGGTGATATCAATAGTGGGATGCAAGGGTGCTGAAAAGGGGAAGGTGAAAATGCATGATTTTTTTCTCTCCACATTTTGCTTCAGATATTGTCTTAAACCCTCCATTCCCTGATGATGTTTGCTAAGATTATGGAAGATGTCTTTTGATCATACTTTTCTCTTTGTGAAGAATGTTATTCTCAATTTGATCTCAGAGCAATAAAACAACATTTAATAAGGCCTTTTCAAAAACATGTACAGGCACATAGACATTAAAAATTGTAATGACTGCTGAAGACTATGTGTGCATGCAACAGAAATAATTTACATCTTTCAGAGAAGAATTACAAAAAAACATGAAAAAGTGATTTCTAAAATTATATCATGCACCTTCTACTCGCCCACCCCTAAAAATAATAATACTTTAGGGCAATAAACTTACACACACACCTACAAAAATAAACCCCCTTTTGCTACCAATATGGATGCAAACATATCATCACACAAAACCTAATCTTGCAGCAATGGTCTTTTGAAAGCAACCAGAATAAATTATGAATATGCACATTGATTCAAAGAAGAATGCAAATATATATCATGCATGGCATTACATCTCCTTGAATGCACACCTATACATTAGGCAGGAAATCACTGACACCTTTGAATAAAGGAAATATGGAATTTGATCAGAATTTAATGATGGGCAAGTAAATGTTTTATATGTGGTTCACTGATCCACAATATGCTCAATAATAGGCTATTGTTTTTCAATTTGTCAAAAACTTCCTGTCTCACAAAAGAAAAGACACTTAAAAACAAAACACAAAGAAGCAAACACGGGACAGGAAGTCTGTGTATTCTAATTGATGTAAGACCTCAAATTATAATGGAGTTCATAGTTTTATTCTTGTTCTAAAAACCCCAATATTATGATGAATTTATACCCAATTCATGTAGGGTACTTTCAAGGACAAACACTGACAAGTAAGGCTTCAAAGGGTTTCTGCCTTTAATCCTATAGTTTGGCAAAACACATTTAACGTTTATCAAATCTTTAAATTCCTCTTAGATAAATTCCTTATTTTAAACACTTTAAGTGCATACCTTCTAAGTTTTTAAATTCTATAATTGGGAAATTAGATGACCTATTTTCTAGGCTTCTATACAGAATTGTAAGATTCCATTTAGCAAACAGTCCCATGATAACACAAGAGCTGACAAGGACAATTTCATCAACTTTTTGCTCTTATGAATCCTTTGAAATGTATTTTGAAATTAATTAATGGTCTTTTAAGCAGTAAATCACTAACAAACAAAAATGGTAAAAGAAAAACCTTCATCCCTTCCTGCCAGCTACGCTATATCCTCACTGAGCCTACAAACTTCTTGAGTGTTTAATAGTAAATATTACATATTGCTTGAGAAATAATTAAGGAGGAGGAAGGGAGAGAGAGAGAGAGAGAGAGAGAGAGGGGGGGGGGGGAGAGAGAAAGAGATGGCGAGAGAGAGAGAGAGAGAGAGAGAGAGGGAGGGGGGAGAGAGAAAGAGATGGAGATGGAGAGAGAGAGAGAGAGAGAGAGAGAGAGAGAGAGAAAGAGAGGAAAAGAGAGTGAGGGAGAGAGAGAGAGTGTTTTAGGAGGTGGAGGGGTTGAAGAGAGAGAGAGAGGTAGAGTTAGAGAGATGGAGGGGGAAAGAGAAGGAAAGAGAAAATAGTGTGAAGGAAGAAAACATGAGAGAAATAGAAAGAGATAAAGAGTATGTGGGGAGTAGGAGGAAGTAGGGGAGAGAGAGAGAGAGAGAGAGAGAGAGAGAGAGAGAGAAAATAATAGCTACATTAAGGACAACTGGACTGACATAGAAAAAGAAAGAAAGCAATTTAAATGTTCACTGTTGGGTCAGAAGTAAATGTTTCTCAATAGAACATTAATGATGCTGTGATTATGTTATTAAACACCCACCATTCTTTGGTATTCTATCCCACTTGAATTAACTGTAATTTCCCCACCACCCAGGGGCTCAGGCATGCTAATAACAAACAATGTTCGAGGACACCTCTTCCAAAATAGAATTGAAGTGTCAAAATGTTAGACACAGAATAAATATGTATAGCACTCCAGGTTGATAGTACATAATCAAAGCATCCACAGTAACTCAAGGTGTAATATGGAATGTTCTTCTACAGCCTTTTAGAGCCCAGACTCTTGGAAGAACAACACACTCACTGAATACCTTGACAATATTACAGTAGTTGATCAATCATATATCTCACATTAATAAAAGCAAGATTTAAATGTTTTCTTGGTTTCAGCATTAATTGTGTTTCGCATGCATCAAGGATGATATCATCATTAAAGCATCCTCTCTTTATCACTTGGGAATAGACAACGTTCATCAAAACATTATCAAGTTGATCAGTGTATTTTAATTTGGGTCCAGGAGATCATATTTGACAACTCATTTTCTGGTAATGGCAAGAAACAGCTTACATGTTTTCAACATCTCTTGTAATCTCCACATATAGGAACAAAACATAGCTCAAATCAATATAACATTTTATAGTGGTATAGATATTATGACCTATTTTGATGTTGAAGGACTTTGGTAAATACCATGACATAAAATATACCAATAATACATATTCTTAAAGGATACAGCATAACTCCAATCCAAGGAATGAAAGACATGAATATCTCTGCATGGTTTCATCTTTTCTAGCACAAAATTAGTGTTTGCATAGTAGGATTTATTACTTGATGCTGTATTGTCCCCACATCTGTAGTTCCTCGTACCACAAAACATGGTGTTCTTTCATCTCGTGCAATTCTAGTATGGGTGTAAGCTCTATTGTTATGATGTGTATCACATAGTTTTAGAATTTTGTATCGCAAGCATTTGATAAATGAGATATGTCATTTACCGAGGCATTAGGATTAAAAACACATCAATAATAAATGATTCAACAAAGATATGATTCCTAATGTGACCTGACTGGCTAGCTGTGTGTTTATTGTTATGAAGAACTGTTAACTGTCTTCATAAAGAGAAATATTAGAACACCACTACCATTTCATTTTTTGTTAATGCTTCTTTTTTGATATAGGACTCCCCCTCATAAATTCCATCCATTTGAAATATGATAGCAAACTATCAACAATTGAACCTGAATAGAGTGAAATAGAAAAAAATAGAATTTCTAAAATGTTTTTGAACAGTGGAATTCCCACAAAGTTTTCAAAGGACAATTCATAAACTGCTCCCCTTTGTCACATCTTTAAGAAAATAGTCTTTTACAAGATAGAATGTTACAAACACAGTAGAAAACATTTTTGCATCTAATGACATGTGAGGAGTATACTATGATTGTGGTGGAAGTTTGTCCCAGCCACAATCTCAACTAATGTACGAATGTTCTGTTAAAACAATATTCCTGGGGAATCCATGTTTGTGTTACCTACAATCTTGAACCTAGATTTCTTTCACTGGTAGCTATAGCTTAAACATGACTCATTACTTTGGGTTCAGCATCCTAAACAAAAAATACCCAAAGGCTAGCTCAAAAATGGGATAGGATAACATTTTGGAAATGGGTTCAAGAAGTTCTAGGTTGTTGTTGAAGTTTTCCTTCTTAAAAAAAAAAGAAATTAAAAAAAGTCTGAAAATATATTGACTTTGTGATCCTCATCACAAATCTCTTTTCATAAAGTCATGCATGTTTAGAAATGTTACACCCGATACTTCTACATTCTTTGTTGTATATTGATACTCGTTGGATATTGTTGAGCTGTCAGTTCAAAGTTCTTTTCTAAACAAGTAGGCCCAAGTACTTGTCAAGCAATCCCTTATTCCAACAAATTTGAAGAAAAATAGGACATAACAAATCAAGTAGAAACATTTCCAGAGGAGATTTTTCAAGAAGAAATGTAACAATTTTCTATGAATAAAAAGAAGATGACATCATTAAAAATTACACAATATACAAGGGGTTGACATGTATATACATTATCATAAATCTATCATTGATTCATTTGGAGAGCTGTCCTGTGCTCAAATTTGCACTTAATAGAGTATCAGCTTTGTAAATAGAATGTGAAATAGACATATAATTTCATGAGTATATATATATATATATAAAAAAAACATGCCTATTTTTTCAAAACCTTTCTGATTGGACCAAGAGGGTAAATTATTTTATGGGCCAAGATATTTTCAGGTACCTCATATCCCTTCAAGCTTTATTTAAGAATTCAGGGTACAAGAATAATAAGATCCCTTTGATAAATCACTGAAGTATACTTTTCAGACCCATTTCTTATACCGTAAGAAGGTTAACTTTATACTGTGTTAGCCGCCAACCCCTATAACCTGCCTTATGGCTACTGAATGAAAAGCAACACTTCGAAAATCACTCTGGTATAAATTCCACTTGTCAAATATTCTTTGACAATAAGACTTAATTTGGATCACTTTACAAAGTCTGCTGTAGCTCAGGTTCAAATGCTGTAATCTTTTGGGTATTAACCTCAAAAGTCAGGTGTACTTCACACCCTTAATGCCCTCTTGTTTACTCTGTGGCTTCAGAGTCATTCTCCAAGCTCACTTGTGGTGAACATCACTTTATTGTTGATGTATAATTGTATGAACTCTCATATATATGAAAAAGGGAAAATCCAATTACTATTTGTTTTTGTTTCTATTGTTGTTATTAAATCCTTTTACAAATATAGCCAGATCAAAACAGTATTTTATCCAATCAATAATCATTCATCTGAATATCAACAAAAACTAAAAGAAAACTTTGTAGCCTATTTCAACTTCTTAAGCACTTGACTTTAATAAGGTCAGTGTGTCAATATGACACAATCTCTATAAGTCCCTGGATCATTTTAATAAATCTGTTTAGGAAGCATGATTCTATCTAGGGTTATATTTCAAATGAAGTTATTAACAAAACTGCATGGATAATAAGACTTACCCAGATAGTTATGAGAACCCCGAATCTCTGCAATACGTCCATTTGTAGCTCCAGCTGGTATGATATGAATGTCATTATAACCTGTTCAAGAAGGAAAATATGGAAATACATGGATAATAACATGGAATCATTGGCTGTTCTTTCTTGATACTTATAAATAGTAAATCCAAAATATTTTGATCCATGCATTAATAAGTACATCAAAGATTCAAATATGTGTGAGCATGAGGTATTACCGCTGACAGTCTGAATATCGTTTAGACGAGTCAAAATATCAATGAACGTGCAACTTTTGATCTTGGTTATGATCATTATTGCGTGATACTTGGTAACTTATGGGCCACAAAATTACCAAATGCCTTGGACTTTTCCATAAAAAATGTATTATAAACTGATTTGTATAGGCGGCGCCAGGGATGTACATACCTTCTGGAAGTCTCCTCCTTGTAAACCTATTCTCAAACAGACGACACGTACTGTTATCCCCTCCACAATCTCTACACATGTCTTCTACAGTATTGGAGTCAAGCATCATATCACAGCCAACACTCTGTAAGAACAAATATTATCAATTAATTAATTAATCTGTAGAATTGATCTTATAATCCACAATCTCTGCATCAATAGAGTCAAGAACATTTCACCGCCAATTGTGTCAAGTTATACAGTAGCTACAAAAAAAAGATAGAAATGCATACATTTCTAGATTACAGGAGCATTCTCATTATAAATATTAGAGAAAGATGACAGCTCTACTGGAAGATCTTTATATTATGTAAATTATATTAAAGTTGCGAAATGCAATATGCCATGGACAACAAAAGTTATAAAGAATCTTTTCAATGAAGTTAAATGTAAGCTCTTTAAGTATCAATATTTAAATCTTTAAATATCTGAACAAGGATGTACAATAATCATCTCAAAGACACAATCCCTGAAAATTTGTGATGAATATTCACATTCTTAAATAATATTCTATCACATATTGAAATGTCATTTGAAAACAAAAACAAAACTAGATCAGGCTGCACACATATGAGTACAATTTACTAATACAACTTTGCACAGGTAGAGATCAATTTTCAGGAAAACTTGACTATAGCCTCAGACTAACAAGCCAAAACAAGAATTTAACCCATTTATGCCTGACAGGAGCAAGGGAAATTAAATTTGTTGCAATTTGGTAATCCTGTCTAAAAGTGGGTAAAGCGCTCTTTTAGAGAGGATTTCTCAACTCTTTTTAAAAGCATGAACTTCCAATCCAAATGAAAAAACAAATTGATGATTAGTGACTCCTAAAAGAGTGCATTTCCACTACTGTAGATTAAGATACAGTGGGATGTAAGACAGTGTATTAATGAATTAAGAATAATTATTAAAGAACTAGAAGGCTCCTCCTAAAGGCTCAGCAACATGTTTACAAACAGAATCTTGATTTGTTACATTACATTGTAAATTGATTTATATGATGCATATGTTTCCAAACAAAATATTGATATGTTAGATTGCGTTGTAAATTTATTTAAATGTTTATAAACAGAATATGTACATCAATGAATTTGTTTAATAAATACAATACAATACACTACATGATAGGGTCCATTCATACTTATTATTAGATAACACAGAAGCTCAAAAAAGGAGAAGAGAAAGAGTCGCCACTTGTTATTTACAGTGCAAACTACACAATAGAATTAGGGCCACTTAACCTGATTGTTCAAGTCAATAGACTGTTTGAAATAAGGGAAGCATAAACAGCTTCTTCCATAGTCAATGAATGCATGCTTGAAGTATAGTCATGGTTCTTTTAAAGAAACACCTTAATCTCCAAAAATCACAAATACACTGAAATAAGATTATATGTAAGTACCTGAACAATTAGACTTCCTTTTCCAACAAACTTTGTATTGAATTGTATTTCAAACAATTTCACTGATCACAATGCAATTGAAGAGAGTGGAGAGAGGGGCAAAGAGGCAAAGAGAAACAGAGACAGACAGAAAAATACATACAGAGAGAGAGAGAGAGAGAGAGATAGAGATGGGGAGAGAGAAAGAGAGAGATATGCCTTTGTATCCAAGAATATAAAGTCAGGAAGAGGGAGGGGGAGCATAGAACAGCATGGAACAGTGCCAATACCAAGATCACACTCATATTTTCAGTCACAAAATTCCACCAGATGCCCTCCAGAATCACTTAGCAGGTGCTCTTCCTTCCTTTTCCAACCCTGTCTTTGAGTCATTCATATTTTCATATTCACCATCAATGACCCTCGGTGGCTGTCTCCATTCTTACAAACATTGTTTACCATTATGGTTAATCAATTTTGAAGGTTCGGAAGTTTGGCATTGAGGAGAAATATGAGTCCATGTTGCAAGAGTGCTGATTACTCTCATATTTTCAATACTTCAAGCTTAAAGAAGAATATTTTGTATGGTTATCCTCTGGGGCAGAAAACTATTTCAGTAAACATCTGTAAAAGAGCTCTAGAACAAGGAAAACCCCTAAGAATAGAAATGAGGTAATCACATTTCTACATACAAAATCTGAGAACAAAAAAATATTTTACACTGAACTGAATCTCAAGTTACTGAATATTTCCTAATTTGATCAAATTTTGTTGTTGTCGATGCACATACATGCATGTCATATAAAACCCTTAGAACCATTCACTTTTAAATATTACCTGTGACATTTCTCCTGAAACAAGAAACCTTTTAAATATGAAAAGAAAGGGAGAACAATCTCCTAAGAATTGACTATTTGGGCTAAAGTGGGTGGCATGAGTCCAATAAGATAAGATACAATTTCCCACTCTTATCCACTTACTTATATGATCAGGAAGACATGCAGGTAGATGAGAGAAATAGAGACATGAATCACTCTAAATAAATAAGATTGCGTCCTCTTCCACTGCTCACTTATAAAGGAATCCTGTAAGTGACCTCAGGATACCCTCATGTTTAACAAATTGAATAAAATCTTCCAATTTCTGTTTTTAGGTCTGCTGTCAGTGAAACAGTTGATTTCTTTCAGCAGTGAGTCATTGGTGTATTTTCAGCTTCTGGAATCATGCTGTCATGTAGTTGTATCTTTATCTCTTTCTTTTCTTTTTGTCTCAAACTGGTAAAACAGATTTGAAATGAATGTATGTACATTCTTATCCTATACATCGATTTCCTAACTTGTAATTTTGTATGCTTAAGTCTAGTAAAATTGATTCAGAGGTTTTTGTTTAGATATTTTTTTGAAAATTAGGAGGAGAGGGTTCCACTTTATTTAGTATTTGACATGTTGGGTCAAATGGAAATGCTAATTCAATTTTTTTGCATTTAACTTGTACATGTACTTCAAGGGAAATTGAAACGGCATTATTTTAATGAATTCTATTATCTAACTACTTAGATGTCCTCAAATACTTGTGCGTTTCATTTCAGAACAAAAACAAATCCAATAACCAAAATGAATGGAGGAAGGCCGATTAAGGAGGAGGAGTTTACAAGACAATATGAATTAATCTGGCCTTACCTTTATTTTCATCAGAAATAATTGAGAACCTTGGGTTGGGCCGAATGATTCAACATTTCACTGACCTTCATTTTATTTGATTTGATTTGATATCAAGTCAATAATATATCAAATGTTTGCTTAATTTTTTTAGCCAATTGTTTTCTTAATTGAAAATGAAAATCAATATAGTTAATGCACAGCTACCTTGTACATTTCAAGTCTTTTTCCTGCAGGTGCAGGGAACAGTCAAACTGTAACTCATAAAAAAAGTTCATCATACTTTTGGTCTTATTGAATCAATCATTTTTATCAACCATATGTCAACAGACTTAACAAAGAGCATGAATATTTGAACGGGTATAGCCATGTATAATGGATCTATTTACAGGTCTTTTCTTCAAGTGGTAACACGAGACATGTAGGAAACCACCGAACAAAGGGAAGATGATACACCTCATTAACTTCCTCTCATCATGGATGTCTAAACCACAGGGGCTGGAGTCCTACACCCTTGAGTCATACTCTCTCTCTGCTTTGCATTTCTGTCTTGAATATGTTCTTCCTTCTTTCTTTTTCTACAGGAAGACTGTCAAAGCGCACCTCAAATATAAGTATATATAGGGGTCTTGAGCAAACCCATGAGATAAATAGAAAACTAATTTTAAAAAATATAAAATCAGAGGGATCTTTCCTTCTAGAAATAGTGCATACTGCATGAAGCAAATTATGAGTAGCATTTGTCATAAAGCGATAAAGCTGAAAATTGACATAAATAACTTTCTTGTAAACAATATCAGATACCAGTTGGATGACACAGATTTCCAAAATAGTCCTACCCCCCACTAACGATAAAGACTCCCGTTTAAAGCTCATCATCCATGGAGTTAGACAATAACTAGGGCTATGACGCATCTAAATGTTTGCACTCTCTTTCAGATTCACAGACACTTTGAAAACATAGGCCAGACCGTCTTACATTCCTCTACAATGACATGCCTAGGGCTCCTAATCCCAAAGCTAATTTAAACTTCTATCCATCTCTAGACATTGGAGAATTTTTGAATCACCTATCCAGTAAAAGAAAGGAAAATTGGCAGGTTTCTAATGATTATTTGAAATGTGGAAATGTTTTTTGAGTAAAAGTTTCACATGTTGCATGCCAGGAAGGAGGTTGATCATTTTGGGTCCCTTGGGTGAAGTACAGGAGTATCATGGGCATAGGAAAGAATATCGTTAACAGGTGCTTCAGAGAAGTAAACACGGTCACATACCAGTGTACCACTTGCTTGGGTCGGTATTGGAGTTGAAGTGAAGAAAGGATGATGAAGATATCAGTTGTAACCAAGATTTTTGCATATCTATTATCAGTTTCATAAACTTTCAATACTGCCTATTGGACTACCGGTACTGCAACGAAAATTGATTTCTAAGTAGTAGGACCTAAACATTTGGATATTTGAACAGAATGCTGTAATGTATTAAAATGAAGCTCATATTGATCAATACGGTTTGTAGTACATTTAGGCCTATAAACTTAACTCCTGCTATGCAAAAAGGAGATGATTTCTATTCTATGAATGACAATGGATGTTAGATCACGACACCTCTCATTGTTAGATACAAGGATAATGTTATAACCTCTTCTTCCAAGCTTCTTTCCAATACACCAATATATCACTTATCATAAAAGGATCAAGAGCACAAGAATGATTTAGAAGCCCCTAATTCCTCTGCAATACAACCCCCCCCCCCTTCTATAAATGCCATGTCATGTCATATTATTCAAGGAAAAACAGTTTACTAGGGGGTGGGTTCTGGACAACCTGTGTCTAGGAGAGGACTTTTATGGGCAAGGACTTTTGTGTGCTAGGTTTCAGGTGAGCCGATCAATCAACACAATTTTATCTCTCCATGTATGTTTGTTTTGCAATCAAGATAGCCATGTCAATGTCAAGCTAGCAATAAAACATGAATGACAAAATGAAGTCTTTCTACCAGACTCAATATACTCATGTCAATTTTATCCTGCCAACAATAGTG